GCAGCCCTGCTATCTTGAGATTAGTGTTTACTGATGAAGGGACAGGATTGTGGGAGTGAGGGGTTAATGAGTGACTCTAATGGAGGAGAGTTGAGAATGGGCCTGAAGGATAAGATCAGCCCTCCTCACGCTTTCTTCACTGCTCCCCCCAGAGTGCACGGTATGGGTGTGTTCCAGCAGCTCTCCTGCCTGCATCCCTAGCCACCCCACCCCGGTCTGCCCTAATCCTCTCTGGACACTGAGCCTCTCAGCTCCCAGCCCTTGCCCCCTTTCACTCACCATCACCAGACTTGCAGGATCCCTTGTGTCTCTCTTCTCTCTCATTTCCCTCCTTTTCCCTCTGCCCCCTATTCTTCTTTGGAATCTGCAGAGGGCTCTGGGGTTGACTGGTAGATGTGAAGAAAGCCAGGCCTCAGTTGTTTTCTAGGTGAGGGCAGCAGACTGGTCTCGGGCAGGACCCGGGTCTGACTTCAGGGAGAGAGAGGGAGGAGCTTGGGCTGCACCCCTGTCCCCACCCCCTTGTGTGGAATTGTCTTTCCCACTCTTGTTCTTATTTTTCTACCAATTGCTATTTTTCCGAACAATCCTTGTAGAGAGTATGTGCCATCCAAAGGCAGGGGGGCCCAGCGTGGCCGGCTCTGGTTGGAGATGGTACAGTTTTATTGTACAGGTGCTAAAACAACAACAACAAAAGAAGAAAACGGGAAAAAAAAGACAAAAAAAAAAGCCAGTTTGAGGATGGGGACAATCTGTTCTCTGGAGACTCCTGACCCATTCAGGAGCATTGGTGGTTATTTTCTTTGTATTGTGTTTGTTCTTTGTTCCCAGGGGGAGGTTCTCAGCCCCCTTCTGTAGGACTGCTCCCCACCCCCACCATACTGCCCAATTGGTTTTGAACAGTTGTTCTCCCTTTTAAAACAAAACAAAAATATATATATATATAAAGTTCAGGGGTTTTGGGTTTTAATTCTTTGGTTTTGTTGGGGTTCATGGTATTTTGTGGTTTATTTTATGTTTGCCTTTACTTTTGTGCATTTGGGTGTGTATTCTGGCTGCCCTTTCTGTTTCATTTTAAGCAACTGGCTGTGGAGTCAAAAACTCTTGCATATCGAAAAACCTGTGTCAGGGCTTCTGTCTCCTGTCTCTCTTTACTCCTCTCCCATATTGGCATTTCCACATTAAAAGAAGATGGGCATCTTGATGAAGTCAGAAGGAACACCTGACCCTGCTTTGCGGTTTGGGGGTCCTTAGGGTGCAATGACGGAGGACAAGGTACAGTGGCTAATGGACATTGGGGTCACTGGGCAAGACCTGGAAAGAAGAGGGAAAGAAGAGGAAAAGGAGAAAGAAGTCCTGGAGAGTGGGCTGGTGGGGCGAATTACTTACCTGCATCGGTTTAGGGCATGTGTGTGTGCGTGTGTGCGCATGTGTGTGTACTTGTGCGTGTGCACGCACATTGGCGGGAGGAGGAACTCTTAGGTGGCTGTGAGGAATGGCCCTCTCTAACTCAAAGAAATTACCTGCCTGCCGGCTGTCTTTCCAGCCCTCGACCACCCACATCGGCATCTGACTGCAGGCTCTTATCAGAACCCTCACTGCTGTGCCAGTGTCCTGGCTGCCCACCCACATAGTGCAGATCTGCTGAGGTTCTGGTTTCCTAAGAATCAGCTAGTATGGAGGTCAAGATAACTTGCCCGCATGCCCTGGATTTTAGAACTTTCCTTCCTCCTTCTGAAAAAGAGTGGTAGGAGGTACAATTCCTTCTGACCACTGGCTCTAGACTGCACCTATGACTGTTTGAGAGGAAGGGAATGTTTGACAGGTCTGGGATGAGGCCATTTTAAGCTTCTCACTGTGGTTCAGGTCTCTGGAGAACCCTGGCAGTGTGTACGGCAGAAGATCTATATGTCTGGTCAGCTGGGGTCCAGCCATCCCCAGGAAAGAACCTTGAACTGCTCTCTGCTCAAGCCCCAGGAGCAGCCTCAACCAGTCTTTCTGACCAGATGGGGAAGTATCATCCCCTTTGAGCCCCAGCATGAACTGTCTTTAGTGCCCTTTGCTTCCCCACTTTCTGATCCTGAGCTCCTCTAGAATAGTTGCTTTCTCAGGTTCCCAAACAACCTTATAACAGTACTGATTCTAGGCCAGTCCTCTGTTTGACACTTGCAGTTACGAACTCAGATATGACCCTGGCCAGTGTGGTTCAGTTGGTAGGCCCATCACCCCATTCTAGGTCAGGGCACATACGTAGGTTGCAGGGCTGATCCCTCATGTAGGTGTGTATGGGAGGCAACCAGTTGATGCTTCTCTCTCTCGAAGCAATGTTTCTCTCTCCCTTTCCCCCTTGCTCTCTCTCTAAAAGCAATGGAAGAGGGTGTCCTCAGGTGAGGAAAAATGAAAGGACTCAGATATATCAATAGGTCATGAAAGCTATGTGGTCAGTGCGAGGACTCGGCTAGGCCTAGGATGGTCTGGGAGCTCGAAAAGATGGGCAAGGGTATTGGGGTGGTTGGAAAGACTTTCTGGGAAAGGTGATGCCCATACACTTTGGTAGAAAAGTAGGAATTAGGGTTGGGGGTGGAAATCGTTGAACTGAGAAGACAATCTGAGCAAAGGCTTGGGAACAAAGAAGGTAGTATGTGCAGGGAAAGCACAACCCACTTCAGTGTCAGTGCAGCTGGAAGGGACAGATGGGGAGGGAGGATGCAGGAGCCCTCCTGGCCAATCCGAGGAGCACAGCTTGGGCTTCTACCTTTGCTGATAGGGAACCATGGGAAACTTGAACTGTGTAGGGACTACTTTGTTTTTGTTGTAATAAATTGGTAAAAATGTGTTGAAGGTGGGACAGGCAGACAGAGGAAAAGGTAATTGCTGCACTGACACTGACACCCTTTTTTGATATTCCAAAAAAGGATGACAGGAGAGTGGTGGGGGTTCGACAGAGACGTCCTTTTAAGGCAGGAAGGAGATGATGTGGGCAACGTCAGAATGACCCAAAGGGACTGGCATTTGGGTTTGGGTGTATGGGTGCACAAACCCCTTTAATCCGCTAGAGAAAGGAGGCAGAGTTAAAAGTGGAACCAAACAGCAGTTTCTTTTCTTGCTTTTGGGTTCCTTTCCTCACACTTTCTCTGGAGTCCTCTCACTGCCCTTCAGGCTAGGTGGGAAGATCAAAGCGGGAGGTACAGACTGTGAAAAGAAATTTGCATCTCTAGTGAAGACGGTTAAGGACCCAGGCCTCTATAAAATTACCACCTAATCCTTTCAGTGTGGCCTAGGTGAAAAGGCCAGTTCCACCTCTTACCACCTAGGTTGCTTGACCTTAGGCGAGAACCTAATGTTTCCAAGCCTTAGTTGCTCCATCTGCCAAATGGGGCTTAATTTACGGACCGCGGAAGAGAATCATACTGAGTAAACATGGCTGTTTAGCTGAAGCTATGATGTTCTTAGCAGAACCTTGGGGTGAAGGGTTGAAATGGAGGCCCTGTTTAAGTGTGTGCATTCCGAGAATAAGGACCATCCGCTATTTCCCCATCCCTATGTGTGGGTGAGTAGAGGTGGATTGGGCAGTAAACTCCTGCGCCTTCTATATTCTAACCTATAACGGGGGAAGCTTGTTAGGTGCTTTTATTGTGCCCTTTCTCGATAACACGTGTGTTTGTGTGTGTGTGTGAGGACAAGGTCCACCAGCTTAACTGCCAGGAGCGGAGGGCCGGGGCAGTGCTTCGGTCTCCTAGACCCCGCGGCAGAGCCAGCCAGGGCTCCACGTGTTCCCCTAGACCACGGATTTTCCCCAGAGAGGTGCTGGCAAGCCTGCAGTGTCTGGCTGCTGGGCGCAGATGCATCCCCAGCCTCGCACCGGCACCCCCCACCCCCCGGGAGTCCCGGGCTTTCGCTGCCTGCAGTGGAGGGGCTGGGCGGGGTGGTGGTGGGGCGCTCCTGGCTGGCAAGTGGATGTAGCGAATTTAGCCAGTGTGCCCTGCTCGCTCTTCGATTTCAAGGTAAAAAGCGCAGCTGCCTGAAAGTGTAGTTAAAGACAGGCTGCCAAGGGGAGGGGGGGCAGGCCAGGCGCCTGCCTTAGCCCTACGGCTCAGCTCAGGGAATACTTGCGCCTCCGTAGGGGAGAGTGTGACAACTGAGCTGCCTAGCCCACCGCTCGCTCACCTGTGGGTCGGAGGCTGGGGTGGGGGTGGGGCGGGAGGTGGTGAGGGGCGGGGCCAAGGCACAACCAACCAATGGGGAAGGGGCATTCAATCGACTGCTGCATTTGCCCTGGAAAGTGGAGGGGGCAGGAGCGGGGGAAAGTTTCAAGCTTCAGAGCAATGGAAGGCCTTGGTGGGGGGCCAAAATCACCCAGGTCGCTTGGGGCACAGGGTCAGGACGTGGGGACTAGAAAATGCAGGCTCTCGCTACCTCTGCCAGGAGCTTCAGGCCCCACCCCTGCTGCCTCTCCTTTCCAAGGCTCCCTGGCCCACCCGCCCACGGTTGTTGGCCGGACAGCGCCCCCTGCTGGAAGTCGGCTCTTGTGTCCTGCGTACCAGGGTTGACGCTCTGGGAAACTGCAACCGCCTGGGCTGCCCAGCCCTGGGAGCTGCCAGAACGGAGGAGAACGAGCTCACTAGCCTCAGATCCCGCAGCTTTGGAGACGCAGGCAATGGCATGTTTAAAAATACATGATGGGATCAGAAAGACCTATGCTCGTGAGAATACCTTCTTGTCCTGCCCCTCCCACCGGGCCTGACCCTCCTATCACCCAGTCCCACTCAGGAATGAAGAAATAGTCATGAGGCAGGAGGGGCAGCAGAAAAGAGCAGGAGTTTAGGAGTCGCCTGCAACACCTGGTGACCATAGGCACTGGCATAAGAAGCAGCTGCCTTCAGTGTTCTATGAGGTCAAAAAGGCTGTGGTAGCCCCCCAAGTATCAGTTGTCCTTCTCCCTGCCCTCTTGCCGGCCACAGCATAAGGCTGAGATCCCCACGATTAGGTACAGGACTCGTTCACTCTTTCAGCAAACATTTATTGAGCACCTACTGTGTGGCAGGCACTGTGCTAGGCGCTGGGGATACATCAGTGACTAACACACAGTCCCTGTCCTTGAGGAGCTCACAGTCTATTGGAAGGGAAACATATAAACATGTAACTAAGGACCTACCATGTGGTAAGTGCTACAGTAAGAGGTATACACCAAGTGCTGTGGGAGCCCAGAAGAGGCAGTAAGAAAGACATCAGCTGCTGAGGCTGAGGAGCAAGTCTCTTGACTCCATTAAGCCATCACAAAGGCAGGGATGTTGTTGCCACACAATCCTGGTTAAAAGAAACTTGTCTCCTGAGGTTCTCCTCTAGCTTTCTCCCATAAGTATATCAGCACTGGTTAGTTTATCGTATCAGCTAATTTAACACTTTGAGTTAGGAAAGAAACTGGACAGGGAAGTTTCTTTAGGGGTAGAGTACGTTCAAAGTAATAACAACTCTTGGGCGTAGGGGCTGGGCGTGGTGGGGGTGAGGGGAGAGACATGAGGGCACTGAGCCAGGGAGTTCAGACCCTGGGCAGTGGAGCACCTGGGGTGAGTGCCTGTGCAAAGGGAAGGTCGGCATCACCTACCTCAAAGTTTGGTCCCCATCACTCACCAGCTCAATCAGTAACCGTTTGCTGATGTTCACTAGATGCTTCATACGTAGTGTGCCCTGCTCTGTGGGTGACACAATCCCCTGCCCCTTGGAAAGTAACACACTAACTGGGGGAGACTAAGTAAGTCCAGGTCATTGAAGATTTAAGTAATAATTTTTGATTATAACAGAGATGTCACAGGCTGTTTGTGCTGATTTGCCAAAAGAGTGGCAGTAGCTCCAAGTTTCAAATAAAGAACTCTGGGAAAGGCAGCTTCCACCAACGGAGTCTTGAAGGATAGATAGTATGCAGTTGGTACTAGTGGGGTGGGAGGAACATTCTAGTTGAGCAGAACCAGGTAAAGCAAGAACACAGAAGTGGGAGACTTAAACAGAGGTTTGTTCGAAGGCCAGTGAGTGCATTGGTTTGGCTGGAGCAATACATTGGGGGTGGGGAAGCAATGTGAGAGATGACTGGGGAAGTCCAATGGGACCCGATGGCAAAGGACCTTGCTGAAAGGTCAAGGACTTGGGAACTTGTCTGAAGACAGGGCTGAGGCTAAACCCAACATAATTTTGAAACTACTGCCCTGAACCTCAAAGTGGCCCCCTCACCCCTCCTGGAGGACTCCCAGACTGCCTCATGATTCAGCAAATAAATGGTTAGTGCCCAGCTGCCTGGAGGTTATATTGAGTATCATCTCTACCTAAGCAATGAGGAGCCTCTGAAGGCTTTTTACCAGACCAGAACTGGTGCCCTGGCAGAGGGAATAAGACAGGTCACAGGGGGGGCTCTGGATGTGTCTGGGAGCAGGATAAGCTCTGCATAGTTTGAGGCTCTGGGAATTTGGAAGGGAAGCTAGACTTGAGAGACATGGCAAATGGCACTGGGCTTCAGGAGATGGGTCAAGTGAAGGCAGCCATCAGATGGTTCTGAAATGTCAAGCTTAGAAGGTCAGGAAAATAGCGGCACTGTTAATAAAAATAGACAAGTCATGACAGCTTTTTTTTTTCCCTTGGAAAGGGTGTGTGTGTGTGTGTGTGTGTGTGTGTGTGTGTAAACTTTCAACATCAACTTTTGGGAGAGGGGCCATCGTTGAGGGCCTGGCAGGCATCTAGGTGGAAATGTCCAGCAGACCCCTGGACATGTGACCCTGAAGCTGAGGAGAAAACTGGGGGGCTGGAGCCCTAGATTTCAGACTCATCCCCAAAGAGCTGAGCCAGACCCAAGAGAATGGATGAGACCCTTGGGTTATACCCGCACTGAACGTGGTAGATCCGGAGCCAGCACGACACAGAGAGCAGGTGACAGAAGGTGCAGTTAAGCCCAGCTAGTGCAGGAAGTGTCAGGAAGTAGTGTCACATGCTGTGAGGGTTCATAGGGGCCAAGAACTTTGAAGCCATTTGATGTTACCACGAAGATGTCAGTGACCTTCAGGTGATGAGTTATGTGGAGTTGGGGTGAGGGGGACAGGGCCACCCCTGACCCATGCAGCATCTTTATACCAAAGGAAAAAAAAAAAAGAAAGAAAAATCAAAGGTAACTTTCTCAAGATGCTTTACTTTCTACCATCAGGATAACTGTCTTAATAAACTGATTTATTAGAAAAAGACACTTTAATGCCAAGTGCTGGAGACATGTAATAAATACACCTGCACAACTGTATATGGTCCCCCCGCCGAGGGAAAAACAAGAGAGTGGGAGAGGATGATAACAGGCTTGGCAGTGACTGAAAGAAGGGAAAAGCAACCTGGGGAGGTAGATCAAGTGGATGGTTTTTCACCACGGACATAGCAAAGGTCCTGAGGCACTGATTCACATTAACCAAATTCACCAGATACCGTAACTGTTTCCAAGGCTGACATGTTTTAGCTCTTAGCTTTGCCCCCCACACTTGGCAGGAGAGGAGCAAGCTTATTTCAAAGAAGGGAGAGGGGAGGAGATCCAGGCCCTAGGTGGAGGAGTTGACTTTAAGAGAGAATCAGTTGGCCCTTCCTTAGAAAGAGGGAAGAGGGAAGCAAGAAGCCATGTGGAGACAGAAGTGCCGTGGGAGCTCACATCTGCTGGCTCCTGTCTCCTTGGTGAAGAAGGAATCAGGGTCAGGTGCGAAAGTTCAAGAGGGGTAACAGTCTACGTGAATGTCTGCTGTAGCCATGGAAGGGGCGAGTGGGTTGGCAAACTTATGAGGTAAGTAAAAGGCTGGCTGAGCGGCAGGCACGCATGAGCAGTAATGGAGGCAGATCCGATCTGCATTGCTAATCAACCATCCCCAGCAATTCCTGACTGCAGGAAACTATGAGGAGCAACATTAATCAACAGAGAACTCAGGATTCAGGGTGTGGGCCAGACGCAAACATTGGTCTCACAGCCCCAAGCCCTCAGTGCAAACATTCAATGAACTCAGCCCTGCCTGGGGACTTGGTGGCTAGGTCTACCCCTAGAGGGACACTCAGCCCCTGTCTAACTCTTCAATCACAGCCTTCTGCAGCAGTCAAGGTTCCAAACATGCTGTCAAGTGACTGGCAGGCAATGAAGCCAACGCCAGAAAGAAATCTCAGTCTAGGCTGGAGGGCTGCTCCCCAGGGCTCAGTTCCCTCTCCTCTCTTCATGCTTTTATCGCACTCGGCTTTCTCCTGTCCCTTAGAACTGTAGTTACTTCAACACTCACACACAACAATTGAAGCACTTCTACCCAGGACCTGCTCCAGCTCTGTGACATCTCTCCAGATCTGGGGATCCAACCTGTACCCCAGAGTCTCAGAACAACTGAACCTTGGTTTGTACAAAGGGAACTAGAGAACACTTTTCCTTAAAACAAATCCTCATCTCTGTGGCTGACCCACAGAGACACATGTTCTTAGAAACCTCACAGTGTCCCTTTGTCGTCTGCAAAGAAAGGGAGATACAGACCCATGAGTACACACAAATACATAACGAAATATTCACATGTGAAATAGTAACTTCCCTGCTGAGGGAACATATAGTGAAATACACCCAGGCAAAAATGGCTCTTCCCACAAAGCCCCTGCACCTGCCCTGGCCACCAACTTCTCAGGAGCTTATCCCTTCATCGCCACATCAGCCCATTGCCCTGACAAGAGCATACCCCCTAGTGCTCTTGAAGGCCATGGCCCGATGCCAGGGATGCTCAAACTGGGCAAGGCTTGACCATGGTGACATCAGGCAGGGATGGGCGTTGGGGGAATTGGGTGTATTGACATTCCACTAAAATGTAAGGGCTGGTGAGCTACTTAAGTCAGACTCTGCTAGAGTCAATCCACATGAAAATGATGCTCAGCTTTGCCTGGTAGGTCATACTTCCCTGACCCCTCTATCTATATGTTATGGGGCTCCATCTTAATGAGGGAAGTGGGGTTGAATGGAGAGAAGGAGGCTGGGGTTGAGGACCTAGTCAGTAGGCTCCCAGATGTGGTCACACTAGGCTCAGCCATAACCAGGGACCCTGAGCCTGAGGAGAGCTCAAGTTCAGCCACCGGGGTCAGCCCAACAGTGGGGCAGCTGGGAGGAGACAAAGTCTGGTTTCCCAGAAGACTCGGGTTGTGGGAGCCCCTGGAAACCACGTGGGTTGGAAGTGGCTGAAGGTGAGCTTGATCTCTCAGAAGCTCCCTCAGGGTCTCTTCGGGAACCAGTAGCCCCTCCACGGGGGCCCCAGTCACCACACCCTGCACATAAGAGGAGGATCTCAGTGGCCCATCCTTGACCCCAGGGGCTGCTGTGGAACCGGAAGTCCTGATGAAGGCAGCAATGACAGTCCCAGGGGGCTGAGAGCTGGGCCCCGCCGCTCCAGCACCTGTCATGGAGGGTGTGGTTGGATTGGTCGAACGGTTGGCCCCAGTGAGAAGCTGGGGGAGGCCACTGAGAATCAGTGGAGTTCCTGGTGCTGCCACCTGGCTCTCTTGGAAACTGGTGTTCACGGGGAAGGAGGCCTGCAAAGTGAAGGTGTCCTTGAAGGTCGAAGCCGGCGGGACACTCTGGAGAACGAGCTGAGTTGAAGCAGTAGTACTAGCAGGAGGGCCATTGGTTAGCACTGTGGTCAGGGGGATCGTCTGCAGGGTCAAGGCAGAGGCTGACCCCACAGGGGCCACTCCTAGATGGATGTTGCTGGGCACTGAAGACGCACTGAGAAGAAACAGAAAACAGATTCAGTTAAGGCAAGAGGCATCTCCCAACTGGCTAGAAAGGAGGGCACAGGAGGAGAGGAGCGGAAGGTGTTTTGTTTCTTGGTTTTTGTTTTGGCTGACATTTATTGAGTTATAGGTCAGAGACACTTGAAATAATTGACATGCAGTATTTTCCTCAATCTTCCAAGTAGCTCAGAAGTTGAATAAGATTCATAATCTGATTGTACAGCTTGAGGAAACTGAGGCATAGAGAAGTTATGTCACTTGCCCTGGATCACACAGCTAGTAGCACAGGCTCACATCTAGGCTTTCTGACTCCATAGCTTGTGTTCCTCACTGTTCCAGTCTACTGCCTTCTCTCCTTAGGAGAGCATCTCGGTGACCCATGCCAGTATAGTGAACACACAACCCAGACAAAACACAACCTTTCCTGGGAAAATTGGAAGTATTTAGCATGGACAAGAAGTATCAAGAGCCCTGGCTGGTGCGGCTCAGTGGATTGAGCGCCGGCCTATGAACCAAATGGTTACCAGTTGGATTCCCAGTCAGGGCACATGCTTGGGTTGCAGGCCAGGTCCCCTATCCCCAGTAGGGGGCGTGCGAGGCAACCACACATTAATGTTTCTCTCCCTCTCTTTTTCCCTCCCTTCCCCTCTCTCTAAAAATAAACAAATAAAATATTAAAACAAAAAAGAAGTATCAAGAGCCTTCTGGGTGGACCCGGTGGGCCTGAGGAAAGCAGGGTGGGTGTCTCTGTAACACATTCTGTTGCTTCTTTTCTTTTTTTTTAATCCTCACCTGAGGATATGTTTTTCTACTGATTTGAAAGAGAGAGGAATGGAGAGAGAAAGAAGCATCGATGTAAGAGAAAAACATATATTGGTTGCCTCCCATATGTGCCCCACTGGGGATTGATCCCACAACCTAGGTATGTGCCCTGACTGAGGATTGAACCTGCAACCTTTCGGCGTACAGGGACAACACTCCAACTTACTCAGCACCTGGCCCGTGGCTGTTGCCTCTTTTTTAGAGTTGGGGAGGGTTAGAGAAGGAGGCCCAGATGTGGGGGGCCTTGGTGGCTGCTTGGGGAGCCCTGTAAGGTAAAAGGAACAGCCCCAGCTAACAATGGAAGTCTCCCAGCTCAAGTGCTGGCATTGCCATGACTTTGGTGTGTGACTACGGGCAAGCTTCTTTTCCCCTCTTGACCAACAAGTATGCTACTGGCTTCCCAGGGATTCGTGACGGTCTTATGAGATTGGACACACAGCAGAACTTTGCAAGGAGCTGAAAACTATCCCCCAACTTAAGTACAATGGGAAGACTCATAATGACCCAGGTGCCCTTACCTTGCAGCTTTGGTGAGTTTGGCCTGGCCCTCTGGTGGAGAGACAAGCACAGTGGAGGTAGTAGGGATCTCCTCATCTAGAGACATTCCCAATTCCAGACTTGCTGATGGCTGGAGACCGACCTGCTGAACCTTTGGCTTTTCCCAGGGAGGGCTGCCCTTGCTCTGGGGAGTGGCTCTGGATGAGACCCTGGAGCTGGCTCGCCGGGCAGTGCTGGTGGAGGAGGCAGAGGCCTTAGGGGATGCCTCTGCCACTTCACTTTTCTCATCCTCATCGTCGATCACCACTAGGTCCTTGGGCATCTCTTTAAACTGGTACACCAGCCTCTGCCCTTCCACTTTGGCAAGGATGCCCCTCTGGTAGTAATATCTGTGGGGAAAGGGGTGAGGAGTTAGTCAAGGACATACTGCCCTCCAGGGCAGAGCAAGTATGAGGTGCAGGCTGGCCAGGCACCCGAGGGGAGCTCAAGGGCAAGGGCACTGGTTAAGACCAACTGTTAGACTTACAAGGCTTTTATGAAACATCCTCCCCCAGAGGACTCAAAGGGTCCATGAAAAGGTGTTTGACATGCCAACGCCCACCTTGCTTTGGGGTGGAGGGTAAGTAATGGATGAGAGAAGGTGTATGGAGGGTGGGAGCTTCAGCAGTCCTGCAGCTTTAGACTCCATCTGTGGGTCACTCTGACCCAGCTCCCTAGGTCTCTGGCTTGAAGCTTGTGAACAAAGACCTTCTTGGGGATGAAGGCCATAAAATGCTCTTCTTGTGTCAAAAGAGAAAAACCTAGGACAGAGCTGCAAGAGGGAGGGAATTTTTCCTTCCAGAGAGAGCCTGGGGAGTGGGCTCAGGGCCAAGGAAATGGGAGCATTAGGGGGCCCTACAGCAGGAGGGCTTCCTTGCACATAACAAAGAGCTTGGCAGGGACCCGCAGAAGCTCCTACCTTAGCGCCCTTCCCATAGTCTCATAGTTCATGTCAGGCTTGTTTTTCTGCTTCCCCCACAGCTTGGACACAGCTTTGGAGTCCACCAGCTTGAAGATGCCTTTCTCTCGCTGGGTCCACTTGATGTACTTGGGGCAGGTGTTCCTGTCTTGCAGAAGTGCCAGGAGGAACTCCCACAGATAGATGGTGTTGCCTGAAGAGGGGCAGGTGGTGAGGGGCAGTGCAGGTACCCCGGCTCCCTTCCCGCCTCACCTGACTCCCAGTCATACCTTTGCCATCCTTAGATTTTTTCCGTATGGGGACACTGGGGTCAGTGACAGGTGAGGTACTGCGGTTGCCCTTTGTCTTCCGGACTGTGAGGAAAAGGCGAGAGAAGGATGAGGCTGAGACCATGGCAGGCGCTGCAGGCCAGGCTCCCAAGAGGGAGGGCCTGAAGCTTATCAAGTTGGGTGCAACAAAGCAGACAAGCAAGACCCTAGGATCGTTCTCCTTGGCCACAGCCCTCAGGTACATGCACCTGCCCAGTGGTCTGCCCGCATGTTCAGGCCCCAGAGATACCCCCAAACACCACTACTATGTGGGGCAATGTGGTGCTTGCACGTGAGTCACCTGTAGGTCCAAATCTGCCTAACCTCATTTTCGAAATGAAAAGGCAGCCTAGAGGTGTGACTGTTGTGTGGGTCAGTGGGGTTCTGCCTGCCATGCTGACAAGGCAGTATCAATCAGACATCACCCGAGTAAATTAGTAACAGTGGGGCTTGGGGAAGCCCAAAGTCCTCTCCCATATATAGCCTTGGCTCCATGGGTTCCCAGAAGGAAGATAAGCACACAAAGCACAGGGCAGAGGCCCCCAGGGGGCCAAAGACTGGCCATGGGGCCAAGCCTGGCATCTGAATACTCAGCCTAGGATTCAACCCATTGGGGTCAATGGTTCTGGAAGAGTTTCCATCTATGCTGGGCAGATAGCAGTGACCTGGGAAATGTCAGGCTTTGGGCAGGCCAACCGATGAGTCCAGATTTTACAAAAGGAGACCTTTTCCTCCATCTTTGCCATACCAGAGAGCTGTCCTCTTAACGTGTCTGTGAGCCTCCACCCACTCACCTCTATGGCCTCCCTGACTGCCTCTCTACTATTACCCACCCCCTTGAACACACACACACACACACACACACACACACACACACACACACTTTCTCTCTGTCTCTTACTTCTCTTCTTTGATTTTCCAGCCTTCTTGGCACTTTCCTCTCTGGGGACCGTGTCCTCCAGAGAATGCCCCTCCTGGTCACCAGTGTCATCAGCCCTGTTCAGGGCATTGGGCTCAGAGACAGGAAACAGGTAGTTGGGTAGATTGGTAGCTGGAGCAGTGTCTGGGTCTGGAAGGATCTCGGAGGTGCTGACTACAAAAGAAAGACCTCAGTTGGCTGCGGCCCAGTGCAGGGTAGGAGTGTGGTCTCCCAGTGCTCCAGAGAATGGCAGGGCCCCAGGGAGGGCAGAAGTGCTGTTCCCCCACAGCCCCAAGCACAGCATACACCTGACAATGCCTCATGTGTCTCGCACCACAAGAAGAGGAAACAGCTGCAGAGCTGCGGGCATAAGCTGGCCCCAATCACTGCTGCCACATTTGGAGCCCACTGCTGGTAATGGGGAAGTTCCAGGTGACACCCAAGGTAAAGGGCCACCTTGATTTAGTCGTTCACTTTGTTGCAACTAGAAGGAACCTTAGAAATTTTTTTTAGCCCAATTCCTCTGCTATCCTGATGAGGAAACGAAGACCCAGGGATGGCAGGTAATGTGCCCATGACACAGCAAGTTGGTACTTGGCACCTGGAGATACCAGTAAATATCTGTTGAATCCTGAATAAATATTAGTGATGGAGTTTGGATTAGAAATACTAGGACTTGCAGCTTCAGGACTTTCATCCCTGTACTGTATCCCAGCACCCCTTTGGGAGGGACAGTTAAGGCCAGGAATTCCTGTGGAGCCAGTACAAATGTCTGAGAGGGCTCTAGATAAGAAGCCTGCCTTGAGGGCCTTCTGGGAAGGGAGGGCCAGCCTCCAAGAACAAGAAAGCAATGAGGAGGTGCCAAGTCTGGTATATTTTAAAATAAGCCACACCCTGCATAGTCCTGCTGGGAGTCCAGAAGGACTTTCTAGGCCCTGGGAGAGGGGCCTAAAAAGTCACCCTGGCCAACAGTATTCAACCTTAAACAGGAAGTAGATTCTGACACATGCTATAACATGGATAAACCTTGAGGACATTATGCTCAGTGAAATAAAGTGGTCTCCAAAAGACAAGTACTGTCTTATTCCACTTACATGCAGTAGTCAAATCCATAAACACAAAGTAGAATGGGGTTGCCAGGAGCTGAAGGAAGGGGGAAATAGGAACTTGTTTAACGGGTGGAAAGTTTCAGTTCTGCAAGGTGAACAGCGTTCTGGAGAAGAACGGTGGTGATGGCTTCACAACAGTACAAATGAACTCAAGACCACTGAGCTGTTCACTGAAAATTGTTAAGGTGGTCAATTTTATGTGTACTTTACCCCAGTTTAAAAATTGAGGGCCTGGCCAGGGAGCTCGGTTGGTTAGAGCACTGTCCCAATACTCCAAGGTTTTGAGTTCAATCCCAGTCAGCTCACTTACAAGAACCAAGCGATGAATGCATCAGTAAGTGGGACAACAAGTCGATGTATCTCTCTTCTTCTCCCTTCCTCCACCTCTCTAAAATCGATTCTTTTAATTTGGAATAAAAAGTCACCCTGGCCACCTTTTCCTTGTCTGTGGTGCCTTCTAGCCCCTTCCCATTCCAGTCACAGCTCAAAAGCATGTTTACGTGTATGTCGGTGAGTGTGGGCAGAGATGCCTGTGTGCGCAAGTGCCTGAGAATGCAATGCATGGACGTGATCTCTGTAACTGGTATTTTGCGGTGCCTTGAGTTAAGGCACTGGGGTCCACACTTACAGATCTGCTTCTCATCCAGGATGTTGTTGGGAGACTCAACGTTGAGCAAGACTTCGGTGGTTGGCATGGTTTGTGAGGTTGCTTCATTTTCATCTGGTTCCAGTTCCATGGTAGAGGGGAGGAGAAAAGTTCTCTTAGGGTAGGCACAAGGTAGCGGGTACAGCCATGACCAGGGCTAGCCCAGAAAATAGTGCTCAGGAGCCAAAGGACAGCTGGGAAGGGGCCAGTGGACCTCCCACCTTCTCCATATACCCACCCAAGTTATCTTCACTCCTCATTGTCCCCCTCCATCTCAAAAGATCATGAATCCATTTAGATGGCTTCCCATACTACCCACTTAGATGGGTACTACCCATCAACACTACCTCTTGCTTGTCCCACCCACCACATCTAAGTTCCAACTGTTGGGGACCCTGCCTTTGCTGCATGTGTCACTATAAGCCATTGTGTGTGGGCTGCTGTTCCCAGAAGATAGACCCCTTTCTCCTCCACACCTTCCCTGCCCAGGAATGGCACAGACCTGCCAGCATAAAACTACCCTCCAGGACCTGATCCTCTGTCATGCACAAGGTCCTGTCCGTTATGATGCCATTGTGAGCGTCGTCCAGCTCCAGGCCTGAATACAGATGCAGTAATTCAGGGTAGGGTACCTGCTCCACAATCACAGCTGGGAATACTGAGGGGTCTTCCAGCTGTGAAGAAAGGGATCTGATTAAAGACCCACCTGCATCTTCCAGAAAGCCCTCCCTACCAGAATCTGGCCCTTCTTGCAATTTCTCACTGTTAGAACCCTCAGAAGCTGTCCTTTGTATAATATGACATTGCTCTGGGTCCAGCCTCATTAGGTGATTCTTTGAATTTTTAATTTATAGAGATGGGTTATCTCTGTACCACCTGCATTCAACCGAGTGAAGACAGTTTTAATTGGTGGTACTTACGGGTCAATCCATGGCCGGGGTCGGTGCTCAGTCTATGGAAAGGGCTAGGATCATCCTGAGGCCAGTGGGAAAGGACTAGCCAATAATAAAGGTGAAGGGCTCGATCTATAGTCAGGTGAGGGACTCAGGCTCCAGTAAGGGATGGGTACCCAGGGTTAGGGGCTCAAATTATAGACATCTTAGGGCACAGCCTTTGGCAATGAAGATGAAAGAACAGAGGCATTACAGAGATAGAAACATAAGCACCCAGTCACTTGCCTGGATGGGGAAGAGTGCTCCAATTTCCAGTTTGATTCAATGGGTACATGGGGACACTGTTCATGTTAAGGGGGAACCCAAGAGGAGGAGGAGAAACAAGTTTTTGGAGAAAAGTAAGAGGAACAGTGCCTGGATATGGTGAGTTTGAGGTACCCTAAAGATACTTAAGATGAATATGCCTCTCAGGGAGTCAAAAATATGTGTCCAACAGCTCAACAAGGTGGTCACTAAATCCCTTGGAATGGAAAAAATGATCAGGATGAGAACTGACCCCTGGAGGCCATGGTTGCTCTAAAACCAAGCAAAGCTACATGAAAAAAGGGGTGTGATCACAACTGTTTTTGTTTTTAACTTATGTATAACCCTGGCCGGTGTCAATCAGTTAGCTGGGTGTCATCCCATAAGCCAAAAGGTCACCAGTTTGATTCCTGGTCAGAGCAATTGCCTGGGTTGCAGGTTCGATCCCCTGTCAGGGCACACTCCCACATCAATGTTTCTCTCCCTCTGTTTCTCCCTCCCTCCACCCTCTCTAGAAGGAAATATACCAGAATGTTCATAATGATTTTATTTAAGTTGGGTGACTTTTCCCCTTTCTTTCTAGTTTTCTGTGTTTTTCAAATTTTCTTTCGTGGGACTGTTAGTTCTTTCTTCATGGAAAAAGAATGGGAATGCCCAGTTCTGCCTAATATGCCCGAAGGATCCAGAAGAGTAAATACTAATAAAATGCCTTTGGGTTTGGCCAGTGGGCCGTCACCCTGGCTAGAGCAGTTTCAAGGGCGTGCCGGAGTCCCAAGGCACATTAAAATGGCTTGCAGACAGGACGGACTGAGGCAGGCTGTTGGGTGTAGTGACTAAGGCCATCAAGTTAAGAGCTGTCTGTCCAATATGGTAGCCCCTAGCCACAGGTGACTATTTAAATATAAATATATTTTGTTTCAAAACTAAAAATCAGTTCTTCATTTGTGCTAGCCATTGTTCAAGTGCTCCATAGCCACATGAGACTAGTAGCCCCGTACTGGATAAGACAAATATAGAATACTTCCGGCATCTCAGAATGCTCTGCTGGACTGTGCTGATATAGAACCAGAGTGCCTGGGTTTGCAGCCAAGCTCTAGTACTTACTGGCAGTGTGACCCTGGGCAAGTTACCTAACCTTTTTATACATTGGTTTCTTTATTTGTAAAATTGGGGTGATCATATTATTGATTCCATAGGGTTGTTTAATTGGATCAATATGTATAAAGCAATTCGAACGGGGCCTGGCACAGAGTAGGTTCCCATTGTTTTAGGTTTTGGGGCCCTCTAGGAGACTGGTAACATTTTGTTTCTTAAGCTGGGTGCTGAGCTCATGGGTGTTCTTTCTTTCTTTTTTCCTTAAGCCTCACCCAAGGACATTTTCTTCATTGCTTTTAGAGAGAGAGGAAGAGGGAGAGAGAAGCATTGATTGGTTGCCACTCATACGCACTGGGACTGGGGATCATATGCACCTGGACAGAGGACCAAACCCACAACTGGCCAGGACCATGGGTGTTCGTTTTACCCTTATTCTTTAAATAGATATCTATATACATATATGTGTGATTTGTGCACTCTTTTGTATTCATGATAGTTTTTTGCAATAAAAACTGTTTCCTAAAAAGAATGAGAGAAAGGAGGTGAGAAAGTAAACACAGAGGGTGGAGCCTAGGCTGGAGAGAAGAAAGGCACTAAGAAGGTGGTAGTTTGAAGGAAGTGGGCGGGAGAGAGGGAAGGTTTTCTTTTATGGCTGTCTGGGAGGTCTGAAAGATACAAGGGAAAGAGAAGAGGTGACTCCTGGTTTGAGGTCTTCAAGGAGGCATAAGAGAAGGGATTAGGTACAGGGACAGGAGTTACCCTTGGAAGGAACAGGGATACTTCGTTCTCCCAGGCCAGCGGGAAGAAAATAAGAACGGTGATGTTATCAATAAAAGGGAGGAGGGAGGGAAACTGAGGGCGTCCTTGGCTTTGAGCTTCTCTGTGGATTGGAGGAGAGGCTGTCTGCTGAGGGTGAAGGGGCACGTGTGGGTTTGGAAGGCATGGGGTTGGGAGCTTCTATGAACAGACTCTATGAAGAACAGAAACAATTGCTGAGCAGACTAGAAACAAGTAAAAAATGACTAGTAGCATTTAGAACCCAGGTAAGTTTAGATTTTTCTTGCTTTCTCTTCCCATAATGCTTTCCATAAGGTTAGGCACCCCAGAGGTGTTCAATAAAACTGAGTAACTTTAAGTAAGACCCGACTGCACAGAAAGCACATGTGCTCAAAGCCCACTAGGGGGCAGCCTTTTGTAGTGCACTACGGATTGGACAAAGTTTTCCATCTTTACAAAGATTTAGGATACAGAGCATCAAAATTAGACTGAGGTACCCTTACAGATAATCTAGCTGGATCTCCTCTTGGTGAAGATGGGGAGATGGCAGCCAGATGAGGTAGGGGACAAAACTTGCCTAGGTGACACTGTGGCCAAACTGGGATCAGACCTCAGGACTGTTGACTCTTAATCTTCCATTCTTTCTACTGTACCTGGCTGCCTCTTCTTCATTTTGTGGAAAGAGGGGAGTGGAGGGTGGTGATGCCTGTGACAGGGCACTATCCTAAGATAGTGCATGAAAAACGTTCTCTCTTAGCCCCAGTGCAGGGCAAGGTATGGAGTGGTGGGGACCTGAGGGCCAGAAGTCTGTCCTATTTTCCAACTTCCTCCTACTAGAAGACTGCGTTTCCAGTTTACCCTGCATTTCAGATCAAGGTGGCTTTGGAGGGGTTCATCAACCAGGCTAGGGACATGAGTCTAAAGATACCAGGGATTGGACTCTACCCTATGGTTCCAATTGGCAGTGCTCATTCTTGCTACATGCTTGTCCCAGCAACTTTATCACTGTGACACTAGGGGGTGAAAGGAAGTGGCTGAAAATGCATAGGAAGGTCAGCGCGCACGACTGTGTATTCAGCCCACGTTGCTGCCTGGCCAACAGCTCAGCTGGTCTATTTAGCAGCTGCCTGGCTGACTTAGTGACTGCACGTGCCTTGCAATTGCACGTGGGCGACTGGCTCACTAAATGAGTGCCCAATGATTACTGACTGGCTGCATGAGTGACTAGTTGGCACACAGTCTCACTGGCAAGCAAGCCCAGTGCCCTGAACCTAGTAGGTGCTTGATCAATATTTGCTGACTGGCTAGCCGGCTAGCCGGCCAGCCGGCTGGCTTACTGGCTGTCTGCCTGCCTGCCTGTCTGTGTCTATCTGATCATCTGCGCTGGCTGACTGGGCTCCGTTCTGTGGGGCTGTACCTGGTGTATATCATCCATCCCGTTGCTTGCAAACTCAAAGATCAGGTCACTGGGCTGGAGGGTAATAGCCATGCCGTATTCTCAGAGCTGACAGCAGGATTCACAGGGCCCTCTGGAGCTGTGGGATTTTCTTGATGAAGAGATGCTGCTCAGGGACCTCAGAGATAGAGCCTACACCCCAAGCCACAGGAGAACAGTGGATGTAGAGAGCTGGAGTAGGTGGTGGTCTAAGCCAGGTTCAAGGCTGCATGCTGGGCTGGGCCAACCGCAGGAATGACCTAGAGAGAAGGGAGAGGTGGGGACAGTGAGTAAATTGCCTTCCTTGAGCTCTGTTCCCAGGACAGCTGGTGAACCAAAGGGACCCTGCCACGGCAGGGCAGATTGCCGGAAGAGGGATGGCTAAAAGAGGAGAGCAGTGAGAGAACAGGGAAGGAGAAGAAAGGAGCCAGGTAAAGAGAGGGGGAGAGGATGTTAACTGAGTCATCTCCAGTGGGAAGGGGCCAAGCCTCAGTGCCAGTCTAAGTCACCAGCTGGCCCTGAAGATACGTGACCTCCCCCCCTTCCCTCCCCCACTCCTCTGGAGAAGGTGACGGATAGAGAGACTTTGGTCTCTCTCCACCCAGAACATTAGTCTTCAGGGTGTGGCCACAGGGAAAATCAGGGCCTCATGGATGGGGTAATAGCATGAAAAAGCCCTAAAATTCCCTTGGCTTGGGGAAGAATCTTGTGTGAGGGGTGTGGGTGGGGGACACGTTGGTGTGGAGGGTGCTCTCTTAGACTCTGCTTGGCTCCGTCTACCTTGGGAGTGGGAGCCACTTAGCTCTGAAGGGCGGAGCTACAGAGGAAGAAATGTCTTGCTGTGCGGCTTATGTTGTTAGCCTGACCCTGCTTGTGGGGATGGGACTCTCAGATATAGTCACGCCTTCAAAAGAGCCTGGAGACAGGGCCAGGTGGGTCACAAGCTCTGCGTACTCATCACCACCCTGCCACCACTGCCGCTGGCTGGAGAGGATGGCCTCCCCGCCGGTTGTGGGTTTGTTTTGTTGGTTCAGCTTTGCTTTCAGTTTCAAGACTGAACTGTCACCCTGGGAACTCATGAGGAGAGCCCCAACTGGGGGAGGGCCCAAGGAACCTTGCCCATCCTCCAGGGCCGGCTCAGGGGCCCTCCTTTTCCAGGAAATCTGCCTGCTCTAACCCACATGTTTCTCCTCTCCCTGAATGCCTCTCATGCTCACAGTCTGTACCTCAGGCATTCACATGGCACCTGGGCCCCCAATAGTTTCCTGTGCTTGCTCTGCTTCTACGTGATGTCTGCGGTCCCACCCATGCCTGCCTCCCAAAACCCTAACTCCTGCTCCCAAGTCCCTATGGTCAATCTACTCTGCTCCTCCAGTCCTGAGCAGTTGGGCTTCTGTACTTCCACGTGCCACATCTTTGGCCCTTAGTGTTCTGTTTTCAGTTATATATATATATATATATATATATATATATATATATATATTGTGTGTGCTGGGTCTACAGACAGCCTGCTTCAGCCATCAGCATCTGAAGAATTGGGGCCAAGCACCATAGAGGGAGCAACACAATTGACCCCTACACCTCCTTGACACTCCTTTGGCAGTGCCAAGGGTGGCAAAACCTTCTCCTGGCTGGAAAGAAATGAGGAACTTCAGAGAGGGGCAAAGGGGAGGAAAGGGAGGGGGACCATGGGTGACCTCTCTGATGACCGCTCTCCCCCACAGGAGACACCCAGGCCTCTCCCACTTCCTTTCCGTTAGCCCACAGGGCTGGCTCCACCCTCTCCCCACCCCCATTCTCATCCCCACACTTTTCCACCCACCTCCCCAAAAAAACTTTGAGAAGTCACTCAACTCATCCTCTCAGGTTTGAGTTTCCCTTTGGGTGACTGGGAGACTGATACCTGCTGGGGCAGAGAGGAAGCACTGGCAAAACTGTGGTCCTCGCCTGAGCTCCACTGCAGCCCACCCCCACCTTACCCCGCAAGTGACCTGGTCTCCTGTGGCCTGAGATTCCTTCTAAGGCCATTTATTCTCGGAAGGTCTGTCTCCCCCCAGCCAAAGCACCCAAGACCCACATTCCACAGCTCCAGCCCTCCCACAGGCCCACAGGCAGGCTTTCTGCCCCCAGGAAGCATTCTCGAACTAATCAAACAAAAGGCTATCACTTTCACCTAAATCCCACTTTGTCTAAACATGAAACTTCTGAAACTCCTGTGTCTGCTACTTCCCCCACCCAAGGCCCTCGGGCCTTCCTGCCATGTGCCCTCCCTTCAGGTTTGCCCATCTCTTTGGCTTCTCTTCACAGATCAGTATTTCATGGTTGTGAGTTCACTGCCCATGATCTCAGCCTGTGGAACTTCTTTTCACCTTCCTTACCTTCCCCATTAGACAGTGGCTTCCTTGAGGACAGGGATGGCTGTGTTGGTCATCGATGAAACTTCAGCACTTTGCACTATGCTTGGCATGTAGCAGACACTCAGTTTGTGTTTGTGGAATGAACGTATGAATGAATGAATGGTACTAGTCATTCAGTACAAGTGAGGTGTCTTCGAGGCACTAAGTATATTCATATGTACAGTGGGTGTGGGGTGGGTGTCATGTACTCTGGCGAGGATGAGAGGAATGTTTGCACTCTATGTGTGTAACATCTGTATGTTTGTGCATTGTCACAAAGGGAATTTGCTGGGTGTGTACAAACACATTGTGTGTGTATGTGTGTGTATGTGTGTGTACAGGACATGCCAATGTGCCCCAAGGGTGGGGACGTGTGTGTGAGAGCCTCTGTGGGTCAAGAGCTGCCCTGGTCTGACCATCAGGCCAGCAAGCTCAATCATAAGTTTCCCCCTAACTCCTACCAGCTCAGAGAAGCTGCGGTGAAGATGGGGGTGGGGCTGCCACCATCACTGCCCCCCTCACAAATTCAAAGATCTATGCTCCCCAGGGAGAGAATGCCTGCAGAATATGTATGTGGCCCATAGGTCTTTGAGGCGAACCCCTCAAGGTCCACTGTGCTAGGGAGGTGGTGGGAGAGGGGAGGAAGCAGGCACTGCCTTGAATGGAATAGTCGGCTATCAACACAAGGAGAAGAGGTTTGAAATAAAAGAAAGAGACTAATCTAATTGCATTCTTAAGTGTCTATACATCTAAGTCTCTAAATTAAGGATGCAGTTGGTACAGGTCTCGCTGGCCCAGGACTGAGCATTGCAAGGCTGTACCCAGCAGCCACAGCTGATCCTGGTGTCTCATTCTGCCTGAGTTTGAGCCTGAAGCTCAGGTGAAGGGGTACATGGGGGCAAGCAGATGTCCATTTGTCCTATCCTGTTGGACGAGGCTAAGATAACTCTCCCCCAACCATACCATGGAAACTTCCAGCCCAGAAAGTTGCGTCCCTCCCCCGTCAGATGTTTGAGGATTTGAAAGTGAGAGGTGGAGAAGACGCTCATTTGCATGCTAACCCACTCTCCCCAGCAGAGGAGTGAACAACCTCCCCAAGTCCCTCAAAATAACCTCCCTCTCCCAGGAACCTGAAACCAAAGAAGCCACTACCACAGATGGCCCGCCCTACTGGAGGCCAGAGAGGCCCACACCAGGGGCTACCCTCCGCAGTGTCCTCAGAGATGCACTGGGACACAGATTCAATGGCCTAGAGCCCTGGACGCTGTCTTGCTAGTGAGTAGAGGTCTAGGGGATATACACAGACACTGGGCTCAAGGAACCGAGGTGCTTAGGAACCCTTAGTAATTGGTGGTGAATTCCCACCTCCCTTCCCTTGCCCCATCACTGCACCAGTCAAAGCCCGCCCCCTTCACTCCCTTGGAGGCCAGTGAAGGATCCCTGGCTCCCAGGGCCTATCCTACTTGGGCTGAAAGCAAAGCCTCTGTGAGAGCATATGGCCCCTGGACACGGTATGCGCACATGCATGTGCCACAGGAGGGAGCGAGCAAGTGAGGGCGCCTAAGTCTCAGGCCTGCAAATGCACACCTCCGGCTCTCTGTGGTTCTGACTGCATTTCAAAACCAAAATAGCAAAATAGAAGTGGTTTGGGCTGCTCCTGCGTCACCACAGCTGGGTGGCGGTGCAGACGTAAAGACCCTATCTGGGGCTGTCACTGGAACACGTCAAGCAGCGTTCAGCACCCACCCATCTGGGCCTCCTCTACAGGAAACAGGCCCTATGCGAAAGCCACGTCCACAGCTCTGTGGTGTGAGTTTAAATCTACACCCGTTCAGCCGAGCCAATGGCTCTCACCGAATTGCTAGTAACACCCGTGGCATTTTTACACATGCCAGGAAACATGGGGGCCAGATGGTCAGCTGGGCCACAAAGCAGAGTTCTCCAGTTCCTTGTCCCCTCTGAGCCAGCTCTTACTCCTAAAATACCCAGTCCCCCATGAAACCTTTCTGGAATTCTCTGGAAAGGAAGTGACAATTTCCTTCATGCCATTTCCCACTCCCTCAACACTCCTCCCCCATAACCACAAACAAAATGGAAACTACCCCAGGAACAGCTGTACCCTCCAGTGAAAAACAGCCCCTCCTCCAGCTAATAGTCATCCAGCAACAAATCTGCATGCTGTACCACGTGATCATTAACATGTATTTAAGAGACGGAGGGCCAGAGTCGGGGATCCAATCTCCAGCCATGGATGGAGCAGAGGTAACCCATCCGTAGGATTTCCACACAACCTTGCACTCTCCTCCTTGAGCAAATGCCCAGCAAAGGGGTCTCACTCCCAGCTATTTCATCAGCTCCTTTTCCTCTATTCCTTTCTTTCCACCATCCCCTCCATTTGACATGAAATCGGGAAAAGGGAGGGAAAAAACAAATGTTTTGCAAGCTCTGTTGGTCAGGGTTTTTCTGTGCTTATTTACAAGAAACCAAGTTTCCTTCCATGACCCTCAGCCGCTGCCTGATTCCCGTGTAGAGCTCGTCACAGCTCTGGTGGTGATGCGGGCCCGCAGCTCTTTTCCAGCTGCTCCCAGCCCTTTCTCAGCTCCAGTTTTGTCCCTAACTTCCCTGGCCCTAAGCTGTCCCAGTGGAGCTAGCAGGCGACAGACAGAGAGATGTCCTCTCATCTTTCTCCAGGAGACTCACCAGCCCACCCACAGCGTGTGATATAGTCTGCCCAGGTTGAGCCGAAGAGAGGGAAGCCCTTCCCTGGCTGCATTCCAACAAAATGTGTCACCCTGGAAAAGTCAGCCATCTCCTGGGCTGTGGTATCCGTCATCTTTAAAGTGGGTGAGGACTATGGGTAACTC